GAATGTCCGAAGGGACATCTGAAGGGAAGTACGTCGGTGACGGGTGTTTCGGAGAAAGGGGAGAGAGGGTAGCGCAAGAGTACGTAAACGTACAGTACGCGTCATAAATCCGTTATCAGTTATTAGATAGAGAAAGAGAAACAGAGGAATTTTTTATCAAACGCGCGTCTAAATATTGATAAATTACATAACAAAATGGTCAGCTAATAGTGTTTGATACGTGTCATTTTAAATCATGTTGAAAAAGATGAAGAAAAAGAATTATATATATATATATATATATATATATATATAATGTTTATTGCTTTTGCGAAAAATTATTTTGACATTGAATGTAACAATTTATTTCGAAGAATTAGTTATCGAATAAAATAAATGCATTATTTCGTCATTGCCTGACGAGCAATAAAGACAATAATTGAGTAACGAAGCGAAACATCATGTGAGCGGCTTGTCATCAAGTCGGCCGTGATTTCTTTGACATTTTGGCAGAGCATCGGAAATAATTAATGGGCTTTAAGTTCTTCAATCGTAGACGATCGAGCAAGGCGGCCAGGATCTCTTTCTCTCTCTCTCTCTCTTTCTATAAATACATCTTATAATATATCGCCGTTATTTTTATTGCGAGTCGCACGACAGCCGTCTTCTCATAAAACATCTAGACGGAATAGATATTATTTCGTTCATCTCCTTTCCAAAAAGTGGGTCGTTTCATAGGCAGTTGGAAATATAACACGATACGTTTTGCATTCCATAAATCGAAAATGTAACGATTAATTTTATGATTTTTACAAACGAAGGAAATTAGGTTAACAATTTTTCATTATTATATATTCAAATCATGTATCCCAGAATCATTACGTTGAGGAATAGTTTAATGGACATTAAGAAAGGAATTGTGTGGCTATAGAAATATGTTGTTGCTTACCAAAGACATTATGCAATATATGCTTTTTTGAAAATCAAGATTAAGATCAAGAAAATATACGGTATATATATATCTCATTAATCTTGAAATTAGTAGATACAAGAATATATTGGACTCTTATCTCTCTTGCGTATGTATGTGTATATTTACACATGCGATGTAAATATTTTAAATATGATAATATTCTGTTGTTTCGAAAGATATCTACGTAATATAAAGAATAGGCAGGCATTTATGACGTCTAATATACGATGATTCGAATCGTATCGGAGCGCTGCCGTCGTGGAGAGACGGCGATGAGGAGGAAAGAGATAAAGAAAAAGTGATATAAAAAGAGAACGAGGAGATGAGGGAGGGTGAAGAGGGGGTAGGGAGAGGGAGGCGCGAGAAAGAAAGATAGGCTTAGCCACACGCGCATGCAAAGAGCGTGAAGAGCACCGAGGGACGGACGCACGGTGGCAAGACGATGGGACATGGCTTCCATCCTTGAATACGCACTTAGACGTAAATTGCGTCGTTCCTTTGTCCGTCTCTCTGTCCGCGGTCACTTAACACGTCGACGTTCCTACGCGTTCGTTCGGCGAACGCAGCTCCCCGATCGGAGTCGAAACGCGCACACGTAACTCGCGGACGCTGGACGCGCGAGTGAAATCGAGCTCGCGCTCCGATCGGGAAATTACGTCGGTACCACCGTGCGTAGCCCGAGGGAGAGGAGAAGCGGATCCGTGTATCTCACGGCTATCCCGAGGACCGAAAATAGTCCGCGACGGATTCGCAGGTAGAGCCGCGGGGTAGAGAGAAAGAGAGAGATAGAGATAGAGCACACGGTACTGGGATTGCGACACTTACCGAAGGCTGTTGCGGTGTAGCAGGGCGCAATATGTCAGCTGACTTGACGCGCGACCGATCCCAATTCTGCGTCACTATTCCACATAATTCTCAGCGATACATTCGGTCACCTCGCTCGCAAATAAAATCGCTTCACGAAACTCGCGCTTCGCGTTTCACACTGTTCACAATAAGCGCGATACGCGCGATAAAGGTAGGTGAGGGGGAGAGATACCGATTTACGAGATATCGACGATCGCGATGATCACGGCGACGATGACGATCGTTTAAGGCGAGAATTCTCTTCACACCCAACTCTTCCGACTACGAGGAAGTAGATCTGCCAACCTGCCAGAGTTGCAGGTACGAGAACGAATACTGCTGATGACTGACGTAAAGTTAGATCTCCTTTACAATTCTCCCCCCCATAACTCCGACCGAGCGTAGCACTCGGTGCTCGGTGCCGTATGCGGGCGAATGACCACGAATCCGCCCGAGCGACGAAACAGATAAATTATATAGAGAGTAAACTCGGGAAAGATAAAATGCGTCTAGTAACTTTTATTTAGGGACATGCTAATAATTTGTCCAATGTTTGCCGATTGGTTGTTGCCTAAGAAATATCTAGTTTGACAGTCAAGTATATTGGACAAAAAAATAATCGTCAAACGAAACGCGTCAGATTTTGGCACAGTTGGTATCAACCGTAGAGCACCGCTTTTTAGCGGTCGTTTTACGATGATTGTTCGTTCAAATATCGTTCTGTTCGTCAACAACGTGGTACCGTAGCATGGTAGTGGATGAACAATCCGATAAAGAAAAAGAAGACTGCAATAATAGTATTATTACTTAGCTTTCTCTCGTTATTGCGAAAGAAATAAGGCTATCTCTGCGATCTGCTGCAATCTTATTGTTGCTTCTGGCATTCGTGTGTAACATAAACACACGAAAGACAACACATTTGCCAAACAGTGGTGGGCGATACGCATATTAGATATTGAAGCGTTTGCCACAGCTAGAACGAAGATGAATACGCCGCAGTCTAATAAAAAGAAAGGCAGGAACAGAATGGGTGTACCTAATGAAAGCGCGAGTCCTACGAACACAGAGACGCTCAGCAGTCAAGAAGCAGCCAAATTCGTTTTGGTATGAATAAGTATTGTTTAGTTATTGTTAAAACACGTTTCTATCTTATATAAGAATATACTACTCTTTCTCTCTCAAGTTCTCTCACTTCTCTCTACAAGTAACAGAAGTTGGATTATAAGAGAATATTGTTTGTTTCAATGTCGAATTAAAATACAATTTTTAAATTGTATGTAAACAATAATTTGGGAAACTTTAATGAATCAAACTTAAAAAATATGAGATGATAAATTTCAATCATTATTTTATAATAACAAAAATTTGTAACATAACTCTCTTTAAATTGAATTCTTATATTTTTATATTTATAATTCTGTATATGTGCACATATATTTCTAATAAATAATTTTGTATAGAATCTGTTATATTGACATATATCTTAATATTTGAAGGTAAATCCTATAGGGGAAGATGGAAACAAATCAATTAAGCTGGCTATCTCAGATGCAATCCCTATAATTTCCATGGATTCAAGTATGCTTGACGAAAAAGGTTTAAAATATAACGCAGCATTATTGGAAAAGGAAAAAGAAGACAAAAATATTCTTAGCACTTTACCTGTTGCTACAGTTAAAGAGATAGAAGGTTACGAGGATCAATTAGGAGAGGCTGAACCACTTCCAAATTCTTACATTAGATTTATGGAACGCAGTGGTGAAGAACTTGATGGTAAATATTATTCCGCAATTTTTATGATAATAGTTCTATAATATTAAATAATTATAGTAATTTTATAATATTAAAATGTTTGTTTATAATATTATGTGTAATATATATTACAATATATTATTTATTATTATATTTAATCTCATATTTACCTCATATTAAAATCTTACAATATTAAATTCCATTTTCTATATATTATAATATTCTGTTGTGTTATTATATTATTCCAAAAATAAAATTATTTTGATGTAGGAGAAGTGGAATATGATCTTGATGAGGAAGACACTGCATGGCTTTCTATTGTGAATGAAAGAAGACTAGCTTCTGGATTAACACCTGCATTAGAACCTGATACATTTGAATTACTGATGGACAGATTAGAAAAGGAGTCATATTTTCAACAACAAAGCAATGGTGGAGGTGGCATTGCTGCGGACGAAGACGCTGTCTGTTGTATCTGTATGGATGGAGAATGTCAAAATAGTAATGCAATTTTGTTTTGCGATATGTGTAATCTTGCTGTCCATCAAGATTGTTACGGTGTACCATATATACCTGAAGGACAATGGTTGTGTAGGAGGTGTCTGCAGAGTCCATCTAGGGCTGTAGATTGTGTTCTATGTCCGAATAGAGGCGGCGCTTTTAAACAGACCGATCGTCCCGCGACATGGGCACATGTGGTGTGCGCTCTATGGATACCAGAAGTTAGATTTGCTAACACTGTATTTCTGGAGCCCATCGACAGTATAGAGAGTATTCCACAAGCTCGTTGGAAGCTTACATGCTGTGTATGCAAACGCAGAGGGGCAGGCGCGTGCATTCAATGTCATAAGAGTAACTGCTATGCAGCATTCCATGTAACTTGTGCTCAGCAGGCTGGTTTGTGCATGCGTATGAGAACAGTGCAACCTGCCAATGGTGAACCAATGTTAGTGCAAAAGACAGCTTATTGTGAAGCGCATACACCTGTCGATTATCAGCCTTCTACAAATCCCGTGGATGCGAGGAGGAGAGCAATAGCTAATAAGAAAAGCTCGTCAGCGCCTGTTATTTCTATTCCCACCATTCCACCTGAGAGAATCAGAGAAATAGCTAGGTAAAAATAATAATAATTACATTTTTATTTATATAGAGAATGGGACAGACATATAGTTAAACACAAAATCTGTATAGTACAAAGCAATATTTTAATGTGTTATTAAATTTTTACATGTATTATTTTATCTCAATCAGTTTAGCTGAAGGAATACCAAAAAGGAGTCAATTGATACAACGCCTCCTTGCTTATTGGACGTTGAAGCGACAATACAGGAATGGTGTCCCGCTTCTTAGAAGACTGCAAAGTTCTCATCCACAATCCAGACCGCAACCGCTCGGTGAACACTCCTCTTCGCCGACGCACGATAGTGAATTACGAGAAGAATTGTATCGTCAGCTTAAATATTGGCAATGCTTACGTCAAGACTTGGAACGTGCACGATTGTTGTGCGAATTAGTACGGAAGCGTGAAAAATTAAAGAAAGAATTATTCAAAGTGTGAGTACTCGCGGCACGATATAGAAATTGTGCTTACCAAATGGTAGTCAACATTAATATGTTTTTTAATTAAATAATGAAATAAATTATAGGTTTGCATTAAAAATTTAATTTGTAAATCTCGATAAATTTTAAAATAGTAGACTTCATAATTTTTAATTATGCTTTAATATTTTATTAGCATTTACATTATGAAATATATCATTCTTTTAAAAATAATTACAGGAAGGAAAAATGTTTGTGGTTCGAATTGCGGCCATTGGAGAGTGTTTTACGTACATTATTAGAAGCTATAAAAGCGAAAGATGTAAACGATGTATTTGGACAACCAGTCAATACCAAAGAAGTTCCAGATTATCTTGAAATAGTATCGCATCCTATGGATCTCTCTACCATGCAGGCAATTATCAGAATTATTTTATATTGCATTTATAACTATATTTATACACAGAGAATTACTTTTAAAATATAAATCTATCAAGGCCTATTAAAAATATAATTCATTATCAATCATATTCTTTTGTTACAGGCAAAATTAGAGAAACAAGAATACGATTCTATTGCCGCTTTTGAAACTGACTTTAATTTGATGGTGAGCAATTGTTTGGCATATAATCGTAAAGATACTATGTTTTATCGGGCAGGAATAAAAATGAAAGAGCAGGGTGGAGCCTTGATAGATCAGGCTCGCAAAGACTATCCTGACCTCGATCCAGTTATTGAATCCGAACAAGTTGGCTCTAAATCTAGAAAAAGAGAAAGATCTAATCGTAGTCGCGTGGAAACAGAATCGCAATCTAACGAGAAAGAGATTGGCGGAGGTGGTGTAAATAGAAGAACAGCGGTATTGTTCACGCGTAAAGCTAGAGCCCGTAATGCTAGAAGCGGTCAAATGTTTCTTTCGGAAGATGACAAAAAGAAACAAAGTGATAGTTTTAAAGTATATAGGTATGTAAATAATATATTTGTTAATTATATGACTCGATATTAATATTAAGTTAATATTTATAGGAGTGGAACAATGGATAGTGATATAGGTGAGGGGGAAAGCCAATCATCAAGTTGCAGTAGCTGTCCCACGAGTAGATCTACTACTCCCGATCCAGAAGAGGAGAAGCAACGACAAGAGATTGTCGATACGAAGAAAGAAAACGAGAGCAAGCAAACGAACACTAGCAACGGTCTACAAGCTCTGCAACTTGTATGGGCTAAATGTCGCGGATATCCTTGGTATCCAGCTCTGATTATTGATCCTAATACACCCCGGGGTACTATACATAAAGGAGTGCCGATCCCAGCACCACCTGATGATGTTTTGGCTCTTGCTGACAATTACAAAGAACCGGTCTTTCTTGTACTTTTCTTCGACACAAAGCGCACATGGTAATCATTCTTAATTTTTAATTCAAGAACACTATACTGAATATTTGATAATAGGTTGCATTTAATGAACATCCTTAATAAAAATATCAAGACACGAGTAGTTTTTTGCAATCAATTAAATAGAAAAGAATTTTGTCGAATTATGCATCAAAGGCACAAATAAATAAAAAATTTTCTTTATAATTTTAAAGAAACTAACAAAAATCTTGATTGGATATTTAATTATCAAAATACTGAATTGTAAAAGATCAAAAGCTAAGAAAAAATAGGGTATCCAAGTAAATCTTGAAAGGAATTATTTCAATTATCAATAAGAGAAATATCTATCATTCCATCTACTATTGTAAAATATATTTATCGTTAAAGATTCTGTATCTATACAACAAAATTATTAATTACATGAAGAGAATCTTGAGATAGGAAAATGAAAACTTTGTTTATATAATTATACAAAATTTTCTACATTTTATGATGCAAATATATATTTACATATATTTTATGAATAGTAAAAATGTGTTTGAATTAGTAATTATATCAAATTTTTCAGGCAATGGCTGCCAGGTGAAAAATTAGAAAAACTCGGAGTATCGCAGGAAGTGGACGAAGCAAAGTTAATTGAATCGCGTAAACCTGCAGATAGAAAAGCTGTGAAGAAAGCTTATCAAGAAGCTTTACATTATCGCAAACAAACTGCTGTGTTGGATAGTATCTCAAATGTATAAATCTTGTAAGTACAATATACGATCTAATATAATTAGAATATTGCTATATATAAATATTTAAAAAGATATTGTAATTTGAATGCAATAGATATTAATACTTAATATATCAATGGTCAATGACATTTTTATAGAGAAATATGTGTAGGATTTTTAAAAAAACAATGTGTACACAATATGAAAAGAAATTAATTTATAGAATTTATATATAAAAACATTTACATTTGACGTATATTTGACATTTTCATAGAGAAATATGTACAAAATTTTTTAAAAACGATATGTACAATATGAAGAAAAATTAATTTACAGGACTTATTTATAAAAGACACTATGTTATAATGATTTAATTATTTTGTTGATTTCATAAAACAGAAAAAAAATATTTGTATGAGGACAGGTGTTAGATATTAATACTCTATAAAACGTTATTATAATTTTATATAAGTAAAGTAATTATTTAGAGTGATGCATAGTTTGCAAATACAAAATATAACTAATTTATACAATGTGAATAAATTGTTGATATCGTGGAAAAATATAACTTTTTATAGATTTTCTCTCTGAAATGATTCATTACATTGATAGATAAGTTTATATCCTTAGATAGAAGTATTGGGCAAATGCAAAATGCATCATTGAATTTTCGTAACAAATTTTATGGAATTTGGGATGATGTAAATATTCTGTAAATACTCCCTAAATCTCATTTCTGCTTTGTGAATTCAGCAAGTTCTTTAGCATACATATCGAGTCTTTGTGTCATCTGAAATTAACATAAAATTTCTATTATATATTTTTTATAAACTAATAAAGACTCTTATGAATATATCATACGAAAAAGGGAAAACGCAATCATAAGCCAGCGCGATAATTTGTTATAATTAGGAATATATTATAATATATTATCCATATATTTTGTAATTACACTGAAGATGGTTCAAAAAAAGGACCAAAACGTACGCTTTTTGTGATTGTGCCTATCACTTAATTAAAATATCAATATAATTTGTGTGTGTGATTGTAATAAAACATATGCTCACAAATTACCGCATTGGCTCTTGACTGCCTTTTCTCTCCTTCATATGATATATTTTTTAATTTATGTATAATTTAAATTTTGTAAACTCTATAGAGAATACATTTCATAAGATATTTTAACCGATTTTTTATTTCACATATTTAGTTTTTGACCAAATCAAAAATGGATATTTTTATTATACTAAACTAATTCCATTGATTTACTATGTCTACATGAAAGATGGTTACAATATTATTAAATTATACAGAGGATGAATTACGAAGTTACATCAGTGCTTGAATTTAAAGTTTATATCCGGTCAACGAACTCAATAATTTTGAAAAATATCCTGCACATATGATAATTAATAATTTTATAAAATACTCACTCTAAATCCCCATACGTCTTTCGTTTGTCGACATAGATTTAGGTCCAATTCTCCAATCAAAAGTCCGTCTTTGTCACGACTTAAACCTGGAGTTCGTGTACCATCAGGAGCAGTAATATAACTAGAGCCATAGAAACGTCCAAAATCTTTATGTGCTGGTTTTCCATCACCAGATGTAAATTCATGATTGAAAATCTCGGTACCAACACGATTGATAGCGCAAGTATAGTAACTATTCGCTATAGCGGCGCATCTTGCTTCAATTGGCCACAAATGTTCGGATAATCCTTGAACAGTTGCCGATGGGTTAAAAACGATCTGAAAATATAAATATAGAGTGATTATTTATTGATAAATTTTAGATAAGATCTGAATATTGTAAAATTTGAAAAATTGTGAATAGTTGTGAACATTTTTGCTAACGAGAAGCCTATGTAGATTGTGATTCTTACTTCTGCTCCATTCAAACCAAACATCAACCAATTTAATGGATGATGGCGTCCATAACATATGTTAATTGCGATACGTCCATAAGGTGTATTAAAAACTGGATGTCCTGTATTGCCTTCCATATAATAAGTGGACTCGTTAAAATCTCCAATACGAGGAATATGATTCTTCCTATGTTTCCCAAGGACTTTTCCATCTGTATTAATCACTACACAGGTATTCCAGATAGTATCGCCATCAGCAGAGTCCCTTTCCAAAATCGGCGATATTATTACCATGTTATACTGTTTAGCGAATTTAGACAGAAACATGGTTGTGGGACCAGTTTCAGCTTCCTCTGCAAATTCGCACCATGGATACTTTTCTCTTGTACAGAAAGCGAATGGCATATCTGCAATAATTTCACAAATCGATTATTACACAAATTTATAATTGATGACATTTATGTATATAATGAAATTATGGCTCTCACATACTCCATGCTTCTTGGAGACATAAAATCTGAACGCCATGTTTAGCTGCCTCTAAAATATATGATGCAATTTTTTTATGTATCGCATCTCGTTGCTTCAAAATGGGCTCTGTTGCTGGTAATACAATCTTATGTTGTATTAGTCCGACACGAACAAGACGTAGGGGACGAACCTCTTCTATGATGTCACTATTTATGCTCCATCCTTGTAATTCAAATTCCTCATTTTCCCATTTTTCATATAATGGTCTAATAATATTTATTAATAAATGTATAATCTTAATTTATGCAATAATTAATGATAAAGAAAAGACTGCTATGCATAATATAAATTTAATTCTACTTTTTTTTAATAGAAACAGATAAGATTATTAATATGTAAAAGCGAATGGCATATCTGCAATAATTTCACAAATCGATTATTACACAAATTTATAATTGATGACATTTATGTATATAATGAAATTATGGCTCTCACATACTCCATGCTTCTTGGAGACATAAAATCTGAACGCCATGTTTAGCTGCCTCTAAAATATATGATGCAATTTTTTTATGTATCGCATCTCGTTGCTTCAAAATGGGCTCTGTTGCTGGTAATACAATCTTATGTTGTATTAGTCCGACACGAACAAGACGTAGGGGACGAACCTCTTCTATGATGTCACTATTTATGCTCCATCCTTGTAATTCAAATTCCTCATTTTCCCATTTTTCATATAATGGTCTAATAATATTTATTAATAAATGTATAATCTTAATTTATGCAATAATTAATGATAAAGAAAAGACTGCTATGCATAATATAAATTTAATTCTACTTTTTTTTAATAGAAACAGATAAGATTATTAATATGTTAAGTATTCTAAATTAAATATGTTTTTTACACTCATATATAAAATATGAAAATTCTTACACTAATTTACGTCCATATAAAATGCCTTTTACTTCATTCAATTCCTTCTCTGGTATATATTTCTCTAAAATTTCTTCTACAGTTGGCTGGTGCATGATTGGAACAGTTATCTTGCTATCAGCTTATTTGACCCAGTCACCTTGGCGTTCAAAATTTTATAGACGATGCTCCACTGCATTTACAAGAATGAAATATAACATTGATAAGAGAGAGTAAACAGTGGTAAACAGTATAGGAGATAAGTCTGAAAGGCATCATAAAGACATTTCTAAAAGAAATTTTAAAATTGTATCATATGTTACTCTGATTGAATATGCTTAAATCAACGTTGATTTAAGCTATAATATTATTGTAATTAATGTAACAAAACAAACTTATTAATTACATCAGAGATATATGTTAGAATATAAATCATAGAATAAGTTATATAACATTGATGTCTGTACGTAACTGAATATGGGATAGGATGAAAAAACTATGAGGCAATTGAAGCTCCAAGTTGTAGTCTCTGTCTACAATACGGCGTCTTTGCGCTTGCGTAAATGCACTCCACTTGATGTTATATTCCCTATTGGTCACAGTTTCTGAGCCGAGAATCGAGTGTATCTCGTATCCAGTTATGTATAATCAGTGATTGTATACGCATCTTATCGGAGTGTCGCGTGTTCACGTGATTTCAATTCGAACTGGCGCGACGTGATCGAGCGAAATAATCAACGTAATATATTTTTGTCTTATTATCACTAAAATAAAATAATAATTTTGTATTATTGCATCACTCTCTAATATGATGAAATGTTTCAACATTTACGTAATCCTGATATCGTCATTATATTATTGTTTGTCACACAAGAGATTGATGTAATATGTTTATTTAATTCTTATGATTAAATTTATTCTATATTATTAAACGACGCTAATCATATTATGAGAAGATATAAAAGAGCTGCATATAGGTTTTTGATATTTCTTAATAATAAAAGCAACTGCATTATCGGTATTTTAAGACGAAAATTTTTATTAAGTAATCTTCTTTTTAATATAAAAAAAAATTCGTGATTCTACAAGATTTACTTATCGTGAATTTGCGATAATTAATATTTACATAACTTTAATGCCCTCTATTAATTTAATTCTATATATGTATTGCGCATAATTTTACACTTCACTTTTCTCATCAATTACGCAAAATTTCGAATTCTCCTTAGTAAAAAAAAAAATTGAGCTTATACTGTATATATCAAGTTTAGAAAGAAAGAATTAATATATATACAACAATTTTTTAGATTAACAACGATCTCTTCACTCGCACGCGGAGAAAACCATGGATTTGCATAGCGAGATGATAAAAAAAGAAGAAGAGATTTTTAGCAACCATCCCCTTAGCTTAGTGTGCACGTGCAATCCCAGATGACGCCATGGCTGCTCGCACCCCCGTGCGGCTTGAAATGCGGCGCGTGTCGAGGGCGCATGCCGGGAGCCGGGACACGCGCGTGCCACGGTCACGCGTATTACGCTCTCTCTAGGACAGTCGGCGACCAATCAGCAACGGGTCGGCGGGGTGAGAAGAAGGGTGGATAGATGAGTAGGGAGGTACGGTGGTGGAGGGAGGTTGGTGGTTTCGGCTGGCGAAGTAGCGAGGGTTACCGTGCGGCGCAGCCACACCGGCCACTGCGACGGCCGCGGCGGAACGAATGCGCACACCTTCACGTTCCTCCGTTCCGTTTCATCCGCTCCGTTGTCGCGCGCGCGCGCGAGACGCCGTCGCGATGTGAGGACACGCGCGAGAAGAACGCGACGAGCCTTGTCACTCGGCGAGAGATCCGGCGCGGCGGCGAGCCACGATTAATTGTTAACGGGGGTGAGTCGATAGCTCCCGCTTCCCCAACGGGGAAAGAGGAGCGATAGTAGGGCGGAAGAGGATAAGAGGGAGAGAGCGTACGAAGAGCTCACGTGACACGTCGGAGGGTGCGAACTGTCTGACAGTAGTACATCGAGCGTCTGCTACTACTGCCGTAGTTGCTTGTTGTGACTGTGGCAGCGACGGCGGCGACGGCGACGGCGGTGGTGGCGGCGGCGGTTGATGGTGGAAGTGGTTGTGGTGGTGACGACGACGACGAGGAGGACGACGGTAGGGCTACTACCGCTTGGAGTAACGTTCCCTGCGAGAGGGAAGGAAAGTGGTCCTCGAGGTTACGAGGCCAGGGGAGAAAGTGGGTGTTGCCGGAACGGCGGCGGCGACGGGAGGATCGCCCAGGTTTTGCGGGACGTCGCCGGAAGTCCGGGGTGCTCTACGTAGGAAGGAGACAAAGGCAGAAAGGGAAGGACAAAAGTGACCGGAAGGATGCTCGTCGGTCGTCGATCCTCGAGTCGACGTCAGCCTCTCGCTGCTTATCTTCTTCATCCGTGACTTGTACGTAATCACATCGTAATATCCTTTTTTCCGCTTTCTCAGTTCACCTTCTCTTCCTCCACCCTGTATATTAGGCTAAGTTTACCTCAAAGATATATTTTGTCGCTTGCGTACACAAAACAGACGTTCTTTTCAGGCTTGCAGCAATAATGTTTATCTACGAAGAATCTTAGATATTTACGATTACGAATGTTCACGAGGTCTTCCTTAATACAAGAAATTTTCTCTTGAATATTATCCCACTGTTTACACTTTCCGGACAATCGGCGATACGTTATACAGGTGATAAAAAAAAAAAGAACGCACGCAACGTCGTACAAGCGAGGAAATAGAGGTCGGATGCAAATTACGAGCGTGGATGGGAAGCGATGCACGCTGGGCACGGTAATTGGGACGAGGGGACGCTGCTTCGATGAGCACCCTCGGTACGAGGTCCGAGGTGAGAGGGGAGGATGAAAAGAGGAGAATCGCTCTATATATATGTAGGGATATTACTCTATCTACCGTTTCCCTCGCGATTTTTCTCCCGCTCCCGATTCTCCGCCATCCATCCACAATCCCGTCCCTTCCCATCTTTTTCTCTATCTCTCTCTTTCTGTCTGTCTTTCTCCCCCTCGTATTTTGTCCTCTCCTTGCTTTAACTTTGGTAAACCGGAATCACCGGTGCGTGAGGTTTCTTCCTCGGAAG